CATAGGTATTTCCAGAATTCATGCCTGAAACCTGCTACTTTTGAAAAGCAGGGAGATGACATTGTAGGTCACTGGATACATTTTCCCTGTGAGCTAGGACTGACAATTTACTTCCCGACCCATCAGAGTAATTGGCCCTGTGGTCACTCCCATTGTCAGAAATCCAGCCTCTAAAAAAAAAAAAAAAAAAAAATCTGTCTTCAAGAGAGTTCACAGCTCCCCACTTTTCCAGTAGGCTTGTCTCCTCCCTGTATCAATTTTTGGTGGGATATTAATGATCTCAACTCAACCAAATGTAATATATGCCCCTAGACCTATTTCAGAGTGGTTGAGGGAGGCATCACCAGGACAAACCAACAGGAACTCTACAAGGGACCAGAACCATGCAACCCTAAGAGGCCATTTCCCAGCTGGCTGTGTTCTGAGACTCGGGTATTGAAGAGTTCTTCCAGAATCCCAAATTGGGAATCTCTGCACAGCATCACAAGAGCTGTGGCCAACCAGTCGTTGAGAATTAAACAAGGAAGCTGCCCCAAAATACAGTCAGCTGCCCACCAGGCAAAGAGTTTGCTGCTGTATACCAGCCTCTTCACTTGCCATTTCAGATTTGTGCCTTGGCAAAACTAGAAGTTGCCGAAGACCATGAGACTTCGGGGTCCCTTATAAATATCTTCAAATTCTATGTGCCATCCTTCAATTCCAAAGATCTATTGGAATTGACACTATCAGAGCTGCTGTTGAACTCGATGGCACTGACCCGGAGGGGGGGGAACCCTCATTTCTGGAGTGCAGAATCTGAACTGTAGGCAGGTGATCGCTGAGCAGTAGCCTAGGAGTCCATGAGCCCTTGACCTGTGAACCTCGGCAGTATGTTGAGGCCACATCCAGGAATCACAACCTGAGCTATCTTCTACATGTTAAAACAAACCTGTCTTAGAACAGCTTTAAAAAGCAAGAAATCAACAGCCAGTGGAAAATGCCTTTGCCTTTTTATATTCTTAAAGTCTCACGTGATGCCATCATAGGGGTATGAGTTCAAATGTGTACCCCTCCTGGCCTAGGGCGAAAAGAGGATGGCTGTCAGAACAAGTTGAGCGAGTGATTTGCATTCTCCCCTTCGCTCTTCGCTAGACCTGCCATTGGTGGTGGAGCCCTCGCCCCCCAGACAGAATGCATTTCAGCCCAATTGCAGGGAATATCATCACTGTGTGTGTGTGTGTGTTGGATGTCAGTGTTGGATGTGTTCACTGAGTTTAATGTTGAGCTGTAGCAAGTTGGTGACCTTCCTCTTTGCTCCTTCTAAAGAAGACAGGTAATGTTTGCCAGAGAGAGATCCCCAGGCGTCGGTGTCGAAGAGCCTGTGTCATCCACTGCTGTTCCCTTTGGAACAGTTCAACTGCAGAAATGTCAGATTGAGATTTTGTGCTTTGTCACTTTTTTCTTTTTTGAAACACGACAACACAACTTTGGCTTTTCAGATACGGAACACTTCTTTTGTTGTTGTGGAGTTCCCTCTTGCTGTATCTTCTATGCAATTCCTTTTCAAGAAATTTCCTGGCGGAGGAGTGCTCTCCGGGCATCCCATCCGCCATGCCGCTGTGTGGTGGAGGTGAGGGATGCTAGCTCTGGGTGTGCCTCTTCTCTCTCCCTGCTGCCTCTCCCCATTTTTTCCTGCAGTCCCTCGGTTTGTAAATTGCCTGCATTTAATCTGTCAGCCAACATGTACAAAATGTAAGAAAGAATTTTTAAACAGGTAATAAATTATATTTATAAGCAACAGAGAGTGTTGCCTCCTTTGTTTCTCTTTCTTTTCTACGCCCAGTGTGGAGCCCAACTCGGGGCTTGAACTCGCAACCCTGAAATCAAGACCTCAGCTGAGATAGAGTCGGACACCTAACCAACTGAGCCACCTGGGCCCCCCTCCTCTGTTTCTTCATAACAAACACTCCTCTGTGTGAAGAGTCACCCTGTGTCTCTTCAGTAGCACAAAAAAAGCTCTTGGATTCTGCAAGGCTGGAAATCACAACCTCTCCTGGGGACCGGAGTCTAGAATGGGAGCTTCTCAAGCCTCTCTGTGCACTGGAAGTAGCCTTAGAAACTATTAGTGCCTGACTCCCAGGCCCAGAGATTCTGATTTTCTAGATCCAGGGTGTGGTTGTTACGAGCATTTAATGCCCCCAGGTGATAGTGATGAGCAGTCAGTGGGGAGAACCAGAGTCTCGGAACAGCTGCATCAGAAGGCCCCTGGGAGCTTGTGGATAAAAAGAATATGAGCCCCTGCCCCTGAGAGATTAGCTGTTAAATGAAGTTTGCAAAGCACTGCACTGATAGGGAGGAAATGAAAGGTGAGCCCAGTAACCCTGCATGCCCAGAGCTATAGCAAATGCCACCACACACATGCTCAGCTTGGCACAGGACCCCTGGTCACTCCTGGAGGTTGAGTAGGCAGAAGGCCCCGAGTGTGCAGCGGAGAGGGACTGCAAAACCCAAGCAGAATTTAAGGTGGCCCTTCCCGCAGTGAGACAACTACTTGGAGAAGTGCCCTTGGATGGACCGCAACCTGCCCACCCCTGCTCGGTGTGACCACAGGAGTGGGTAGCAATCATATCAACGCTGAGAAACCGCCCCCTCCTGAGGGCTGGGAGAAGGTGACTCCAGACGGACTTAAAGTGAGGGCCACAAATGTTTGTCAGTTCTAGGGAAGTGGTGACAATACGTAAACCAGATCCTGTGGCTAGAGAATTCAACTTCATCAAAAAAGATGAAAATATAATTGAAGAACCAAACAGTATTTCATAAAAAGCACGGGGTGGCACAGACTCCCCCCCTACTACCCACTGACCCCTACTTTGGAGCTTTGGTAGCTGGGATCTCTCTTGGGAAAGTCAAACCTAGAAGAGTTTCCAAACAGGTCAGTGCGGGCACTGAGACCCTACCTGGGTCGGAGCCACTAGGGAGCTCTGAGGCCTGGCCTCCTGCTGTGTGCGGCCTTCTCTGCCATCATAAGGGCACCAGGCAGAGAATGTTCCTCAGTCCCAGAGGTCTCTGCAGCTGAATTATTATGAGAACCTAGAGTAGATATGACTTTGCAGAAACAAAAGTCCTTCTGAGAATGGGGTCATCTCTATGTCACTGTTGTGACTAGAAAAAAAAAAAAAAAAACCTTAGAAAATGACCTGTGTCAAGAGAAGACTGTTCGCCTCAGCTGGGATGTATTATCCATCTGCCTTGAAGTCCTATGAACACCCACAGCGTACAGAACTGGGGCGTAGGGAGGGTAGAAGAAGTGTGCTTGCAGCAAAGTGTGACTTCTTCCGACCATCGCTAGCTTTATATCCTGTTGAACTATTATCAGTAGGGAAAAGCAATATTTAGGAGCACCTGCAGTGTGCTTGGAGTGGGGCCTTCACATACTCATCTCATTTGTTCCTCCTAGAGCCCTATGAGATGGGTGTTTTTATCCCATTTCAGGGGGGAAAATGGTGCTCAGACTGTGTACTTCCATAGAAGTGAGAAAGTGAAAACCATGGAATGTGAGCCAAGTTGATCTGAATCCCAGTGCTGGGTTGAGTTCTCTTGGCACAAGCGCAACTGGCTAAACACAGCCAATCACATGACAACTCCTGAGTCCCCGGGGAACTAAGATGCAAGCCTTTCTAGGCGCTCTGTGCCCAAACAATTCTGGGTTTCCTCTTCCCTGATCCAGTCTCCAACAGATCTCCTCGCAACTTAACTTTTTACCCTGCCTTCCAAGATTCACACTCCCTGAAGAGATCACCTAACACTTCCCCTCACCCTTGGCAGAGGGCTTTCTCTTGACACCGTTTCCAGGGCAACAGCATAGCCTCAGTCCTCCATACCCACACACTTCACAGCTGGGAGGAGAGTCGGGGTCTTTCTCCTACCGTCCTGCTGCTTCCAGACCGCTGGCCTTGCGTGAAACCCACTGCTTTGCGTTTTGGCCCATCGGGCCTGCTGGGCCCCAGTCTCTACTCTGCCCTCACAGACTGCCCCATTTCCCCCGCAGCCCTAGAGAACTTGGCCGTGCCATGTTCCTTTCTTTAGGATCCCACCCTCCTTGGGACCTCCAGGATCCACAAAGATGGATCCGCAGCCCTGACTTCTGTGTTCCTCTTCCATTACGGATAATCTCATCCATTACCGAAATCCTCCCTCCTGGGATCACACCCTCCCACCTGTCCTGAGCCTCCCTGCTCCACCCCCACCTCCAAAGCATGATGCGGGCTACAGCCCCCTTCTCAGTCAACCCCAGCAGGGCTCTTTGTGCTTAGACCCAATTTCTTTCAACCCACCAGCTGCCTTCACTTCAATCCCTACCCGACTCTGGGCTATGTCAGCCATCTCCCAGATGATGGTGAGCTGTGTTTTGCATGATCCATTGCTGCACAGGCCTGAAAACCCTCAACCCTGAATGAATCCATCTGGGACGGTCTTGATGCCTACATTTTGGGAGCTGACAGAAAGGTGGCCCTATGACTTTGTACTAAGAGCTAATCTTTAGGAGCAGCGGAGTGCTGACTTCATGCGGGATGGATGGATTATTTCGTCTTCAGAGGCTTTCCATGCCTCAGATGTTGACATTATTCTCACCATCTAGGGATATAAATGGAGTCTTTGAGAGGCGTACATTGGCCTACTGTCACATAACTGAGGGGATGAGAGAGGCTCCACACAGGCCATACTCATGGCCACACAGTTGGTCTCATCAGCAAACCAGGCCCTCGGCACCACCCACAACCCTCTGTCTCCCTTCTCTCAGACCACTGACTTCCCTGCCTTTCCTCTCACTCTCAAGACAGCTGTGCCTCCTAACTACGGCGAAATGAGAAGCCACCAGGCTATTTCTCGTGCTCTCCCACCACCAAACATACAAACTTACCTGTACCGCTCCCTTTCATGGCTGCCTTCCTGCCGGTTACAAATGGGAGATTTTCAACGGCGGGGAAAAAGGCGCTACTATAAGATAACAGACATGTTCTTTCCAGGGGGAGAAAGAAACCATTTTATTTCGGGGAATGTTAAAACAAAGCCATATACAATTTGTAACAAATACAATTGTTTGTTCCCTAGTCCTGAATAATTACAGTATATACAAATTCAATAAGGCACTGGTTCCCCAAAAGAACACAAATGAATCTTCTTTTGAAATAGACAGACCAAAAAAAAAAATCCCTTATATATTGCCAACTTTTCTCCAAAAAAATATGGCATTGTTTTTTTGTTTTGTTTTACAAGAGGAATCATAATTGCTAAATTAAATCACTTCTGATACCACTTCTTTCATTCCCACTGCTATGTGACTGGGTTTTCTATGGAGATACAACTCCAGGACTATTCAAGTTTAAAAATTAGGCTCCTTTCAGTGCCTTTTCGCTCACAAACAGAAGAACCAGAACAGAGCAACAACATAAAACACCGTCACTTCGAATGAATATGCATGACTCTTAGGAGCATGAAATTCTGTCATTCTTCAGTATTTCCTATACCGGACCACACAACAATCGAAATGTGTCGAAGGGTTCCCTGTAAATAAAATCTCGGCATGTTTTCTAAGAAGCTTTATGTTTTAAGAGTAAAAAGAACGGTCACGAGTGACCTCTGAACGGTGCTGTGTGGGAGGTCAGAGGCCTGTCTCCTCACACACAAGGTTCATAGCACTGTCACTTGTGACTTAACCAACTACACACTTTCATAAATAAATATTATGTTTCATTTAGTACTTTATCATCCATAATAGTTTATCTCTAATCCACATAATGGAGTTGTGCCAGACCCCAAACTGAACATAATATTTATATATACATATATACTTATATAATATATACACACATACATAAACTATAGACCTGAACATCTTAGCAGACACAACTTGTATTAGCTGACGACTGATATTCTCGGATTCCCTTGAACGGGAGGGAGTGATTAGGAGAAAATCTTAAGTCTTGGAAATAGTCCTGAAAGGAAGCCATTGACTGACTACATTAACTTCCAGGTTCCCCCTAATCCTATTGAAAGACAAAACAAAAAATTAAAATTCACTTCTGAGCTACTAAAAATTTAAAAACCGACAAGGATTATTTGGAAGTGAGTAGGTCGTATCTTTTAAAAGCAGTTTAGTATTCCTTATGTAAGGAGGATTTGGGTAAAATACAGAGAAAACTCTACTCATAAATAAATTTCTACCTCATTGAAAGACTAATAACTAGGTGGATCTTTTTTAATATCTCAAGAATGATTTCTAAATGTTCATGGTAAATCAGATTGAGAATTAGAAAGTAAGCTATAGATTTTTCCAAAACAACTAAAAATATAGAAGAAATTTGGACACTAATTTCTTCCCATTCTTCCTTCATTGGAACCAACACCTCTCTAAAACTCTAGCTTATTTTCAAATCATCACCTCCCCACAAGATATTCTGATTTGAAGTTATCTCTACATAAAAATGTACTAAAAAGAACACAAATTTTTATCAAAGTGGTAAGCAAGCCCAACCTCTCTTAAATTTAGGGAAAACCAAGGAACACAAACACGTTCCCACTTAACTGGTGTCTAAGTTTACTCATTTGTTTGTAGATTATCTAATTAGAGGCACTGAAACTTCTGTCCATGGCTCAGGTGATTATCACACGTGGTTCTACACACATATTCCCTGCTAAGCTATCACAGAGAATACCATTGGACACAAGGGAAAGGAACGTTTGTTTACACTGCTTTTCAGGTGATTTGATTACGGGTATATTTGGAAACACCTGTTTTTGATCTTTGAAAAACAGAAATTTTGTTCCTTTTCAAGGGTTAAGAAAAATCTGCAGTGTTCTGATTACAGGTATATTTGAAAACAGCTGTTTTTGATCTTTGAAAAACAGATATTTTGTTCCTTTTTCAAGGGTTGAGAAAAAATCTTTCTTTGTTACAAACAAAAAATAGAGCTATGAAGCACTAGGAAGTAAATGCTTAGAATGGACAACATCGGTTCTCCTTCTGTTCTCCCAAACCGTGCACACAGCTCACAGCCATTCTGTGCTCTAAGATGTTTTCAGGATGAACAAGTCACCAGCTGCAAGCCTCCTTCAGAAATAAGGAGAATATTTTCTCATTTTTCAGCTGTCGTATTTTCAAAACCCCTTCATCCTTCAGGCACCAAGTGGTGCAAATGTGTTATAAAACACCGCCCCCTGGAGTATTCTGGAAGGAACGTCGTTTTTAAAAAGACCAAGGAGAAGTAATTCCCAATTCTTTCTAAACACTACAGAATTACTAAGAAACAGAAGAAATAAAGTAAGGAAATATAATGAATACAGTTGAGAGGGGTGTGCACAATCTTGAGCTTTATGTTCCTGTTGCTAAGGAATATTGGCTCTGTCAATGATTTGACTCACGTTTCTCAAAGTTAAAACCCCACAGAATTGGATAGGTGAGGAGATGTTTTGCACAAGTGCCACAGAGAAGAAAAAAATAAATAAATTAAAAAGTGAACTGAACATCACGAGAATAAACTAAATTGAGTCAGCACTCCTCTAAGATGTGAAATTATCATTTAAGATGTACATGCTCCATCCATATCTATTTTAGAATAATAAATCACAGCAGCCATAAGATTTTGTGGCCTCCACTAGCTCCTTCTGCTGTCCCACCTGGAGGTTATACTTATATTTTCAAATTAAAATTTAGTTAAATTAACCTGGCATGCTTTCTCTCCTCTTCACTCAGACACAAAAGAGACAGACAATTACCAGAAGAAACTGTCCTTATCTATACAAAATAAGGTATGCCTACCTTCTCCTCAGTGCTTCTGAGACTGGCTCTTCTGTATATATAAGAAACAGGCCATTTGCACCCCTAACTTCATCCTCTATCCTATTGCCATTTTTCTTACGACACAGGAGCAAATGATCTCTATTTTAAAGGGCCTTGTTTTCAACACAACTGATGGCAATTTTATTTACTATTGATCCTTTCATTTGAGAGATCAAAAACATGCATGGGTCAATTCTCCGCACATAAAAACACCTTTGTCTGTGTTTAATGAAAAGGAAAGAATTTCACCATGACAGAAATGCCTTAAAAGAATCAGAAACACAAAGTGGTTCTGAAGAATACCATCGACACTTACTACTTCTAACAGAGCCACATAAAACCTTCATTTGTTCCATATCGCCTGAAGCTACAAAAGGTTACCTGAAGGAATCCCAAAATGTGATCCCAAACAGGTGGTATTTGTACCCAGGTGCATTCACATTGCTGTGGCGGCCCCTAAATGCAGGGCTGGCCAAAGTGGTCTGGGGAGGCAGAAGCGGGGAGACTCTCAGATGAGTTCCACTCTGTGTGCTCCAACTTCACAGACTGTCTTTTGGTTTGCAGAGTGCAACAAAATTTTGCTAATGGAAAAAGATATTTTAAAATTTACCTTCCAGCAGAATTTCTGGAAAGAACTTTTGTTGTCATCATTTAAACTATAATAGTATAAACCTTAAAACATCTACATTATTTGTTCTATTTTGGCAAAATTAAAGTATCTTTTGGAAAAAAAAAAAAGGCAATCCCAAAATACAGGGCTTTCTTAGAAAGCAACATGCATCATATATCACGAACAAGTTACCCAAGCGTTTCCTCCCTCCTACAGACAGACACGATGAGAACGTGTCTCTGGAAACTTCTCTTTGTCCAAGCTGCTCCCTGAGAGGTGAGGCTGAACCCACTAGGAAGCAGGATGGTATTCAAGGCTTATACTGTGGATGCTTCTGGAACATCTTTTGCTCTGCCCACAAACAGGAGAGTATCTACTGGCTTTCTCCAGAGATGCGTGTTTCTTCCCCTCACATTAGAGTTTAATGTCCTGGGACTCGGACATCTTGGCTAGTGTTTTCTTAACACGCAGGGCTGTCAGTCTTGATGCAGGATTGTGAGCCCAGCATTCCATCATGAGTTTTCCCATCTGCCTCAGACACTGTGGGAAGGGAATGGAAAACAGAGTTACACTAGAGAAATGGATTATCTACACGGTTGCTGCTGGAGATACATGGCTGCTAGCATGGGATCTCTGAAGTTCGAATATATTTTTAAAAGAGACTCCTAAAACCATGCAGATAAAATTCCATAAAAATTCTTTTTTAATGCAAATCCTAAATGACTAAAACAGATTTTCATGTCTTCCTTATGACAGTAGCAAGCAGGTGGCTTTTGCTGATTGCAGAAGAGTGTCTTTGAAGTCGGTATTAAACAAATACAAAAATACCCAGGGAGTCTGTATTCCACTCCACACTCCTACATTGTTTATAACATTTGATAAGCTTAAATCTTTTATCTAATTCCATACTATTCAAACAAACATGGTTATTCCTAAATCACAGCTGTCTTCTACAATAATAGCATCGCACCGTACCATTTAACAAGATTAATGACCTGTGCACAGCCTCGCTAAAACTTTCTCCTGTGTTCTCCTGTGCTACATCAATTATTGGTCTTCCTGTGGAAGAGCACAATTTCACTTCATTAGAAATCCTCAGTGAAGGGATTCTGAGTAATACCAATGCCCATAACCACCTTCAAAATAATAGAATTCCAGCATCTCACAAAGTTTTCTGCATAGCTCATTGGAAAACATATGCATTATTTAGCATTTTAGTTAACGAGACACAAAACCAATGAACCAAAGGTTATTTTTAAATGCATTTAACATTAAAGAATTAGCTTATCAACGGTGCTCTTTCCACTTGTTTGCATTGGCTCTGGCACATGTTTGATGAGGTGGGTTTTGGGGGGTTTGTTTTTTTATCCTGGGACGCTTCAAATTCATTTCTGAATGTCCCAGCATGCCAGAGCCCTCCAGGACTTGATGAGTTTGCAAGGTTGGAGGATGGACGGGCAGGATGCGGAGGTGGAGATGAGACAAGAAAGGTAAGCCCCCCGCCCCAACTCATTTCTTCCTTCTGAGCAGCCCCTTTTCAGTTTAGGTTTCACCCCTGTACCCTTAGAGCCAGGCTGAATATGGATTTCTTCAAAGCACATCCCATCATCCCTATTCACAAAGATCCATGGCACAGTCAGGCAGCTCAACTATACCTCTCTCCCTTCTATGTAAAGAAAACTGGATTCTGCAGATGCCTATCTTTTCTCTCATCGAGATGAGAGAATGTTGGATGCTGGTCTGTCATGGAGAAAATTCACGATGCTTTAAAGACACACACAGAGAAATAATATCCTTTATGCAAACGTCAGGACATCACAAATAAATGAAACAGTGTTACCTATTGTACAGGCTAAGTGGTAACCCACCCAGTATACTTTAGAAGTAGCAAACTCAAATTGGAAAAAAGGAAGAGACAAATTAACATATTACACTTAGCACCATATCAACGACTGCAGGGAAGCTCCATTACCACCACCATCAAAACAAAGGAGGAGGATTACTGTAATGAATATCTGGAATCTTGGCAAAGAGCGTAAAGTCTGTTTAGAAATTGGCCATAGCCACATGGTTAGGTCAAAGCTTACCTCATCACTACTCCATCGGTTGGGGAACGAGGGACGTAGCTTTTTGATGCAAACGATCTCTCTCATGTCCTCATAAGAAGGATCACTGGGAACTAGGTCATGATAGGGAAGCTGGTATTCTTCGACTATACCTGAAAATAGGGGTTGTTTTTAAATTATTATTACTATCGATATTTTCTGTGAGGTGGAAATAAAAGTCTAATACACAAACTATTCTCAAAGAAAAGTTCTATCAGTACTCAAGCTCAGGCTAAGAAATGCAAAATAAAGTCTTGAAAAAAAAATGTGCCCAAATGTCACTTAATCTAATTAAAAATATAAATAGAAAACCTGATGAAACATATTATTACAGGTTTTCAAACCTTTTTTTCTAATTTCCCAAAGCTAAGTAAAACAAGTATCTCAAATTTATTTCCAATTTTATAAAACGTGTTGTATGCCAAATTAAAAAAAAAATCTACATTAAATCTCAATGCAAATTTGGCAGACACATCCCAAACTCATACTGCATAATATGTGACTGTTTCTATTACTGCAATATGAGATTATGAATCTCATAATAAATTTGGCAGTGTATCCTACTTGAACAAAATGTGAGATTTACATTTTTTCCTGCTTAATCATAAGAATGCATCTTTCCACATTTAAAATTTTAAAAATTTTACACACCTAAAAATATTAACTATGATTTTTTTAGGTGCAAGAGCTGTCTGACTTTTACCATTTTCTTCATTAAATTTTCTGTATTTCACCAAACTTTCTACAAATAATACATTATTATTAGAAAAATAGGTTTTTTAAAAAAAGATTTTATTTATTTAATCATGAGAGACACAGAGAGGCAGAGACACAGGCAGGGGGAGAAGCAGGTTCCATGCAGGGACCCCGATGTGGGACTCGATCCCGGGACCCCAGGTCACACCCTGAGCCGAAGGCAGACGCTCAACAGCTAAACCACACAGGCATCCCCCCCGCCCCCCCAAAAATAGGTATTGTTGAAAGAAAGGTTAAGAGATACAAGTCTATGTCATCTTAGGAAAATGGCCCTTATCATGACAAACTCCATCTCATTTTCCCTAGTATCTATTCTACCTTATTCCTTTTGTCCTTTGGAAAAGTAGCCTGCTTAGATCTTCTTTGCAACCCTATCTGATTTATTCCTCACAATAATTATAAGCTGCATCTGTCCTAATAGAATGCCACTCTGAACAATCTCTCTGGAGCAGGTTTCTTCCCTATCCAAAATCATCTATTATAGAAATGTTATTGCTTCTTATCTGAACAAGATGATACTACCAAGTTGGCAGATTTTATCCAGCGCATCATTAAATTTGCTGGGGTTTACTCTGACAAAATCTGGAGTCTGTATTACACCCTTTCTTGCAAACTCAATCCCATATATAAAGGACCAGAAGGCTGAAAAGTTTCTTCAGACCATTCCCACTCACCATTGTTCTCTCATGAGACCACAGGGCATAATTATATGTATCTACGTTAATAGTTCCTTCCATTGTGTACCGATTCTATAGGAGATACTAAAGGCACAGGGCCTAACCCATGGGGGATGCTCACTTCATTTGAGTTCTTCCTCCCTTTCTAATTCTTAAGACAACAGCTCTGGAGACACCTGGAGAGCAAGGACTATGTCTAATTTATTCCTCTCATATTTTCCTCAGTGCCTACTGTTGGTGCCATTACCTGGCTAAATTGATATATCATGGGGGGGTGGGTGTATACATTACAACAGACACAGAGCCAATCACATAAAGTTCTGAATTAATCAAAATCTATCATTAAACTATAGACCTTACTTCTTTCTCCTTATTATGCATTAAGTTATCAAAATTCCCATAGTGGCTGCCATTTAATTTTTGTCTGAAACCTCAGGAATCCTTTTTTCTTTTTTCTTCAAAGTTTAGAAGATCTACATCCAGATGTAACTACTTCATCCAAAAGTACCTAGACTAGAAAGACAAACCCAAAACTTCCAACATCTTCATAAAGGAATGTGTTGGAGAATAGAATTTTGTGTGTTTTGTCTTTCTGGAAAGAGAAACCAAACTTGCTTGTTAGGAGCCTGGTGCATACCAGGCAAGGCGGTAAGTATGCTGTACAACTTATCTTACTAAATTCTTATAAACATGTTTCTGAGACAGCATTATTATCCATGTTATCCAGATGAGAAAACCTTGTTCTGAGGAATTCACTCACTTGTCCAAGGCCATACAGTTGGTATGGGGCAGAGCTGGGACTCTAACATCTCTGACAAACACATACCAATCTCATAAGGAGATAAGGCAACACCTTAGTACCTCTCAAATCCTGTGTGTGTGTGTGTGTGTGTGTCTGTGTGTGTGTGTGTGTGTGTCTGAGGTTGGCTTGCTTTTGAGCGAAGAATAATTTCTCCTGTATTCTGACCTGCAGGCTTCCAAATATAGGTATCTTGTGGCCCTATTTGCTTTAGATGTTCGGGAAAACATAATTAGAAAAGTAATCTTGCACTCCACCACTCCTTCAACTGCTATACACTTATCATGAGTGTAAGTGAGCATATTATTCAAAACTAGGCTCATTCCCTCTTGACAAAACATGAATCAAGGCACAATTAGTTAATTTATATCTTGGTTAGCTCTTTTCTTCTTCACAGATGATGGAAGATTTATTCGCTATCTGGTTAGGAAACATTTCTCATGTTAACTTTCCTTTTGGAGTTCTCTCACTTTAGAGGAAATGTGTTCTATTTTAAATTAAGCTTAGAATAGGCTCAGAGTTCCCCAAGTGATTAGAAGGCATTGTGTCATTGCAGCATGATCTGAGTATAAATTCCTGTTGATTAACTGTCTCTCCTCCCTATATAAGTATGAATCTAAATATAAGTTAAGCCTCTACCAACCAAAATGAAAATTTTAAGAGCTAAGATATACTGAATGCTATTTATGTACCAGGAAGTTTTAATTCCCTTTAATCCACCTCTTCTTAAGAATTAGAACAAAGCTGAGTAACTTGTCAGAGGTTCATGGATAATAAATGGCAGGTCCAAGAATGCAGTCGCTAAGCTTTCAGAACCTTGGGCAAGCTCAATATTTCACAAAAGTGAGTTTAAACTGGCCATTATAAACAGCAGCAGCAGCAGTGTGGGTTCTAGCCAAGCACAGCCATGAGTATAACCATAAACAGGATACTTGACGCTGAAGGCCTAAGATTCAGCTTCTCACCTAAAAACTGTTGGAATCTATTTAAAGACAGATGATGCAGCAGTAAACAAATACTATGAGCAATAATAATGCCTCTGAATATTTAATATCTTCTGATGTAGTCTTACTAGGAAATCCTTGTTTGCAAGAAAATTATCATGACCAGTGGTAATATTCTTGATGCTTTCATTTCCTTTTGAAAAAAAAAAAAAAAACCTGATGTTTTCAAACTACTTGTGAAGAAGAAATACAGAAAGTCAAGTGGAGCACAGGGTAAAGAATGGGTATCTCACCCCACAATTCTGGCTCTATCTTAATCTGCAGAGAGGAAGCCACAGTGAGTGGGGCATCAGAGCTGGGGATAGGGCCCAGCAGGTTGGTGAGAAGCAGCCAGAAGGAAGCAAAGATAATTCTAAGTTGTTAAATACTGTTTCCTGGGAGGACTGTGGTTGCATCAACAGAAATAAGGTAGAAAATAAAAGAAAATCTGATGTTGTGGACACTGATTTCTGATCAGGAAGCAAGGATCTGTAGTAGATCCCACAGTATCATGGTTACTTACCTCCGGATACACATCTCCTAGCGACCTCCCAGAGGATGAGTCCAAAACTATACATGTCGGCCATAATGTAAGACTGAAAGTGATTTCTGTTTAAGCTCTCATCCAACACTTCCGGAGGCATATAGCGTTTGGTGCCAACTCGGGTGTTGGGTGGTATGTCAACTTCATTTGTATCACTGCGGAAAAAGCAAAGCACTATAGGCAATGAAAAGGTTCAACACACGACAAATCGAAGTGATTTCCGAGCCAGGGTTTTAGGTAAAGGGAGGAAGGGATATTTTTTCAGGGAATAACATCTCCCTGCAAAATATCTCTTGCCAACAGTTACATTACGTATGCACGGGTAAAAAACCCAGGGAAGAGGGCAAAGTGACTCTGCAACATACAAGGCTGCATTGACACTGGATCAACCGTAAACTCTAAATCATTGCTAGGTACCTATTAAATGTCTATGAAACACCTTCTTCCCCTTCACATTTCAATAGCTTGGCTCTTAAAACTGGCATGAGGATATGCCAAGGTGGTTTGTTTGAGATGGTATTTTTTAAATCAAGTGTTGCAGGTTTTTTTTTTTTTTTTTTTTTTTGATGTACGAGCAAGTTCAAACAATGGGGGGAAAAGAGGGCCAACAAAGAGAGGAAAATGTTTTATTTCAATAAGTAGGATCTATAACAAAGCTTTCTCTGAGCACCATTTATTTCATCCACCACATAACATGTATTATTTAATAAGAGGACAAAGGGAATAACTGAAAATAATCCCAGCAGCTACATGAAAGTTTCAGAACATGATCCATTTATTATTCTCCATCTCCTGGGAGAATGTCCGTGACAGGAGGGCCTCAATGTGCAGTGTGGCCCCTGGGGAGCCATGCCTCTGCACAGGCAGCTGCAACCAGAGATCTGCCCAGAGATGCTGATGTAGTGGAGCTACTGTCGCTTAATAGGTTGACAATTAAACAAGATGCTGTGTGTAAAATTGCTGCCAGCACAACGTGGAGCCTCTATTGGAGGTTTCACTAGAACTACCACAAGAGAAGCTAGTGGTACTAAAAAGAGCAGTAAGTCCCAGTTTTGATGAAGAAACTATCAAACAGAAAAGGGACAAAAAGTCATTATTAACCAAAGTTTGTGGGGAACTATGGAAGAACCTCGCTAGCTCCTGATTCCCAAGAATTTTTTTTCTTTGCATCACACTCCCTGGACTCTCAAGCATTTACACATTATTTCCCCTCAACGAAGAAGGGAAAATATATCAGACAGCACATTTATCAGGCTGTGTCACAGACAATACCAAACTTTCCTAAACACTACTGGCTTTTGAACAGAATCTCTGTGTTTGATCTTATTGCCTCAATTTCTAGTTTCTGAAGCATAAAAGATGTAGTGTCACTTGGGAAAATTTAAAGGATGGCAAGCTGTCTCTCTGCAGATCTTTAAACTGCTAACATTTACTAAAAGATGGAACGCTTCATTCTTAGAACCATTTTAAATTCATTTGCAGCTAAAACCCTCAATCTAGAGCCACTGCAACAGATGGGACACCAGTATTCTTATTAGGCCCCTCAGGATCCTCCAGGACCAACTACTCTGAAGAAGTCTGTTTTATTTATTTATTAATTTATTTATTTTTACTAAAACTTAAAAGTATAAATTTCTAAAAATGAAAATAAATTGATAAATAAGCCTTAATCTGTAAATGTAGGCCTAATGTTCTGGGCTCTGAGAGGCTCATTTTCTAGAAAAATGTGAATTCGTAGTATTTACCAGTACAATACAATAGAAAAATGTCATTTGCATACCTAAATAGTAAATGATAAGGGAAGAAAGTGAGCCAAGAGGCAGCTTAATGATAAAATGGAAACTATCAGGTTTAAAAGATGCCAGAAAAATTCCACTTTTCATTATAATGACACTTCTTCTGTGAGCAGAGTAAGGTATTTCATGTGTTATTATTTACAGCTGAAGCGTTAGAAAAAGACAACGGTAGGCCTGGGTAGAGAATTCTGGGTTCCATGCCAAGAAACAAACACGGGGCTTGCAAATGGAAAAGAAACTGGTAGAGGACCTAAGTTATATTCCAGAACATGGACTGGGAAAGGAAACCAAGTATAGTCTCAGCATGCGGCCTCAAGAGTGTATTTAGGCCAAAGATATACTCTGATCACACCTGATAAAGATTTTAGGTGATTCTGTCCCATTCTTATTCTTAGCTCGTTTGTGCTTTATTTGGATTTAGAAGGTCAGGTAGGGTTAATAAAATGTGTGACATGGAAACATCTGTTGGAAACAGAAATGTAATTGTTACCTGAAGGCAAAATTCAGATTTGTGATGGCCAAACTAGATAGAGTTCATCTCTAAACTCTCATTCCCTCAAACACTGGACAAACATACAATCAAGAATTTAGTTGGTCTATCACATTCCCCCCAAAGTAGTTCCTTATATAGGCCATGGAAATTTGGTACCGCTATCCCTCCTCTACCTTCCTCTCCTCACCCTCAGTGTTTCCCTAGTAGTATGTGAATAAATATCCTCCCCCCAGAGGATCTGAATAAATATGTCTTCCCACCAAAAGTGTAAACTCCTTGAGCCCTGAATATCTGCTATGATCATTTGTTACAGGCCTGAGTAGTGCCATCCCAATCCATCTCACATGGTAAGTAAATAAAATAATTTATGTGAAAGAAAGAAAAGATCTGTTTACAGCAAACTTTGCTATGAATGTGTGGAGGAGAAATACAAAAATCTCTGTTGCATACAGACCATAAAATGAGATATTACCAGTATCTAAGAGGTTAAATAGAATTTTGTTAAGCAAATTAATTGTGTAAAAGATTGCTATTACCCTAATGGCAAATGCCTCCAGCACTACATTTAGATGACAAATGCTAATTATAAGTACTTCATATCTGATACTAGAAAGGGTAAGATTCGCCAAGACATATGGCTCATTCCATCTCCTCTTCTCTCAGGAGTGTTTCTATACTGGAAAGTAATTAAACTGCATTTCTCTCTCAGGTTTTCAGTAACATTATCTTACCTGTTTCCAAATTAGGACAGAGAAAAACTGAGCCTGTTAATCTCCAAGAGCAAAAATAGAAGCCGGAGATACTGAACACTGGGGCACCGAGAATAAAGGAAGAAAAAAGAGGCTGTAAGTAGAGCCCGATGGTGCAGAGCATGTAAGAATAGGGTATAAAGTCACCAAAGGAAAGGGTCAAGGAGGAAGAAGAAGGCAGGAAAGGTCAGGGCGCCTTCAGCTTTCCCTTGCTTTCTTTTCCATGAAGGGACCAGAGAATAAGAAACAAGGTTTATAAGACCAAGTTTGCACAAGGAGGGCAGAGTCAGAAAATGAACTCCAAATGCACAAAATAACCCTCTCTGCTGTAGTGGCTACACAAACATGCAATCAAACCATAAAATCACATAGAGCAAAGATAAATATCAACTTCAGGATGCTGGTTACTTCTGGGAGGGATAAAGGGGAATAAAATAGGGAGGAGAAGGCAAAAGGCTATCCTCAACATCATATTTCTTCAACAACAACAAAAAGACCAGATAAAAATAAAGCAAATTGTTAACTTTGCTCACATTATAACTGTTACATGAGTGCCTTATTATCTTTTGTACTTTTATGTATATATATTTTAATTAAAAATGTTATTATATAGAAGAACCCAGCAGGAACAGGAACAAGAAAAATGCACATTTCAAAGGCTAAGGGATAGATTGGTGGCATAAGGCTCTAAGAGCAAGAGACATCTAAAGAAAGTGGGCAAAATTATAGAGAAGATGGGTTTCTACCAAGGAGAACTGAAAACACATCAAAAACATGGGTGGCACACTGACCATAGAGAAAACATATCTCTCTCATTCCCTCCCTTGGATAAGGGTTGGAAATATTGGATGCAAAGGGCTCAAGACTGAAAAACTGTATTTAGCAAATTCCGGGGGTAGTATTTTTACCTACTTATACTTATATAATTAATACTTCCACTAGATCTGATACGGCTTTTGTCCCTGTTAATGAGAGTTCTGTGAGTTACTGTGAGTAATGTGAGTGTGATAAAGACATCAGTAGAATTAGAAAAACATAAATATATAATTTGAACAAAATAAACTAAATTAAGGGATGTCAGTCAAATTCCTCCCCAGGAGAAAAAAAAATGTTTTAGATTCTTACATTAATGGGTATTTTTCTTTATAAACTTTAGGGACAGTGGGCTGGGACAGGATTAAATAAAAATACCTATAATTTTCTGAGTCAAAAAAAAAAAAGCAGTAATTTGGGAGATTGGGGGTAAGGGGACAAGTCAATTGGGAAATAAAAAGGGTTTTCCCTTCTGGCCTAGGGCCATGACAAGATGTTAAGCTCCTGCAGGAAACAAAAATCAGGAAAATGTGCTGGTAGCATGAATTTTATGACTGCATCTACCTGAGTAAAGCCCTCTTCAACCTTGTGTTACCGGTGTTTGGGGAAGAAAAGAATCAACAACTATACCACGTGGGAAGAGGTACATCATCATATATTGAAGACATGAGGCAGAGAGGAAAACAGCTCTTTAGGATTCCCTGATATGCAGTCAGTGACACTGAGTTCCCTACTGTGTTAAGTAGGATTAGGGGTGATAAAGTAATTTTATTTGAATCTCAAAATGCAGAGTGCCCTCAGCGATGATTACATAAGGAGACATGCAAACAAACCTCATATTTCTGACCCAAGTCACTCAGATGACAATGGGATGATAAAGAAAATGCCAGCAGGGTGGCATGAGATCTACAGCAATGGACAAAGGGCCTTCAAGTGGATACCCACCCGTTAGTGGCTCTTCTCATCAAACAGGAACACAAAGTGAGTGAGAGGCCTCAAGGCGACTGCTTTAGGTGGGCCGGGGGGGGGGGGGTGGAAGCAGCGAAGAAGCCAGATGTCACGCGTGAGACAATGACAGCCGGAGAAGAGAAGGGGAGAAGGAAATGAACCGATACAAGACTGAAGGATCAGGACCTGCTGGGAGAGCAGTTTCATCCCTGGTGCGGCTTAGACCCTGGGCCCGCGGTGAGCAGCTTCATTGGCCCTGCTGTCCTGAGACACTCCGGGGGGCTTCCTGCAGTGTCCCCCGGGGCCTGGCCCCGGGGCCGAGGGGCACTGTGCATCTCAGGAGGTAAGGTGGCCAA